ATTTTTAAAAATCAATATCAAGAGAGTTACAGCAAGCTGAATATTTTCACAGCATATACTATAACTGGATATGCACGTGCATTGTGCAGTAAAACTGAAGACTACAGTGCTTTGGGAAGCCAGGATGAAGAATCATAAAATTTGTAGATAGCAATAAAAAAATATATCTAAAAAGCACATAAGTTTCTCAGCTTGTTCTGGATGAAAAGTTGTGTGTTACCTTGAAACTTTCAAAATGCTCGATCCAGCAAAACAGTCAAGAGTTACCCTGTTTGACATGTGACAATCTTCTGAGGTAGGTGGGTTTTTAATATGTTACTTCTAAACTTTCTGGTGACAAAAAAGATTTTCAAGTGTAAATAAATGTGGGCCAAGTTTACAACTTGGGAAAAATTCTACTTCATGTTCATCAAAAACCAGAATGTAATTGTCACGGTGATGAAGGTATCCTGTCCTATTCTGTTACTTGGGTCTTGGGTCTTATGATAGCAATCTAAGATGACCTCGATGATACAGGACGCCTAGCACACACAAATCACCTTCACTAATACAGCTGTAAAATACATCTGAAATCTCACCAGTGGACCAGCATGGAGGAATCAATATTATTTTAGTTTTGACTATTTTATTCTTAATATATGAATCAATTTGTACATCAGCAAAATAGCTTGAAGGCAAAACACTGATTTATACTTGCTTCCCTTTAGCAGCAAACTGTTCAAAGACAATCAGTACCTAATTGAACTTTATGATCACTTTGAATGCGGTTTCTCAAAAAGAAAAGCATTTTTTACCAGATAATGATCACAGCATAAGGAACTGGTGGGTAAACTACTCGTGTACAATAAAATAAATAAGACCTGAATGCCAAAGGCTTTTGCTGTGCTAAAATTAACAAGCAGCGAATTAGATTTAATCCTAGACATTTTATTAGGTTGTACTACATAGATTAGAAATGATTAGATTATAAATGAGATATTATAACAGTAAAACAAACATGAGAAAGTTTAACTAAGAGTAACAGATCATTACATTTAAAAAGCAGGCTCTCTGATTCATGGGCCGGATTAAGAGTTGGTCTCACAAAGACTTTTTCCATCTCTGCAAGTATTTAATCTCCGCAAATCTGAACTAATTGCACTGGCTTCAGTAGTCCCAATTTTATACACAGTAAACTGAGATTTTTCTTAAAGTTCAACAAATGTTGGAAAAATAACAGCGGTGACAGTCGTGGCGTATGACAGAGCACACAGTACAGACAACCCGTGCAATATTCTCAAGGGAACATTCATTTATGGTGCTGCTTAAAATGTCTTTCAGTTTTTTCAGGCACTCAGACATGCTGGTTGTGAGCACACTAGAGATGCTTATGAATAACTAGAAAAAGTTAACACCACCATTCATTCTGAAAGAAATTACTTTCTTTAGCCTTTTCAAAATGTTTAAGGTCACATTGTATTTTTGCTGTTAAATGTATCTATTTTCAGCATTCAACTGTTTTCTTTCCAAAGCCAAAACAAAACCAATTTGTTTGTCTTGGGGTTCTGGCTCTGTAAATTTAGTCAAACAACTACTGGGGCAAGCCGGGGCCAAAGCAGGGGAGGGCAGATGAGGACCTGATTTATGAGCCACATGCTTTCTCTTCTTTTTTTCCCTAGGTCAAATTGGCACCTACAAAGAATTGTGTCCAGCGATGAAACACATTCATACAGCCAAATTAAATTCCATCGCAAGTACAAAACTTGTTTTCAAAACCATGTTTCAAGCTGAAGATTGCCACAAGGAAAGAAAAATTAGAAGCACAAATTGTGTATTGGAGATAAATTACCAGTCCCTCCCCAAACAGTTCTCTCAAACATTATTAAGAATAATACTACAAAAGAAAAACCTCAGAAAAAGCATCAAACTAGTTACTCTGTATGACTACACGGACTCTGTGGCATGAGACTGCAATCTAATTAGTGGTGTGGCTTGCATCTGTATAACTGAATTATCATGACTGCTCTTTTTTATTATTAGTTCCCACTTCCAGAAAGGTAGAACATTATCTGCTGCACTGTTTTCATTTACGCTTATTGATACTGAATTTAATTATGTCAATCATAGTACTTAGGAAATTGGAAACTGCCTGCTCAAAATTAAAAATATAGTAGAGAAATTAACGATCAGTTTACTCATCAGTCAGCTGGTTCAGACAACATCTATTTGGTCATTAAACAAAGCCAATCAGCCACCAGATACATGCCATTTCTATCAATGCGTACATCTTCTGTGAAGCAAGAAAATATGCTTATTGCAATTTTACATGCGAAAAGGACATATTTTTAGAGCAGCAAATTTTGGCCCATTTAGTCACACTGACATCATCAACAGCATCCAAGCCTTCATCCAGCAACCACAGCAATGAAGACCAACCCGACTCAGCAAAGACTGAGGTATGAACTTTACAGAGGTGAGGAGTCCCCTGAAGCCAGCGGGACCAGCCAGGCATGAAGCACAGCACATAAATACATCTTGGCAGGATAAGGGCATACGTGTGGGCTATGTGCGCTCATCAGTAAGTGACAGAGCTGTGAACGGTTTATACACGCAGCACTTTTCATGGCTCCTGATCTCATGGTGGCTCTTGGCAACAGGAGAGATGAAGAACAAGTTTCCACTGCAAACTCAAACAACAGGCAGCCTTGAACTCAAGGCAGAACTACAAGCTCATGAAATCTGAAAAAAAACACCCCCAACACTTGCAATCAGTAATCAGCACTCCCCATGTCTAACCCTACCGTCTCCACTCAATCCTACCCAAGATTTGGCTTGTTTAATCTAACAAGAGGGAATACATGTTAACCTGACTTGAGCAGTGATGCTCCTGAATGAGCTAGTGCTTTAAAATCCTGCAATCCCACATATTAAAATATTAACTTACATCTGATGAAGCCGATTCAAGGATAATTCCAAATCCTGAAACAGGGGTTTCTGGTTTTGGGGGGGGTTCCATTGCTTGCAGACTCAATCGTTCCGAGTTTACTGATAGCTTCTTTTCATTCTCTGCAGCGTTGGGTTTCTTATTCATGGTAATTGGTTCAACAGTTTTGAGGGGTAGTTTTTTCTTTTTATTTCTCTTTCTTGATATCGTTGACTTTTGTGCACAAATCAGAGGAACAGGAGGCTGCTGTCTGTTTTGAGTCCCAACTGAATGACAGAAAGTAACGTATCAAATTTACAGACAAAAGCACATGTATAACCAGATAGACACGCCAAGAAACTACTGACATACTGAGCTCATCTTGTGGATAAGCCGTACGGTTTTCAGGGCTGTTTATGCATGTGAAACAGTGACATTTTATCACCTTTGCATAATTTTCCAATTTGTAGAATGGGGATAATGACACTGAGCTCCACTATAAGGTTTTTCAAGACATACTGACGAACAGTGTTTTAGGAAAATTTGGAATATGTGGCTCTCTTTCCTAGTGACCACTAGATGGTTGGTGACACGAAGGACATAAGCAAGGATTAATTACTATACCCTCTTGAATGACTAAGAATCTCATTGTCTTTGAGTATCTTATCCTGATAAAGTAAGATAACACAAGTGCTAATGCAATTACAGTTATTTTTATTAATGTAGTCACCAAGTTAATTAGCTCAGCAAGAACATTTCAAGTACCATTATCTCAAGAATGATTGAAAACACTATTCAATAGTTTAATTTCTGGGAAAAAAGTAACCCAAAGTTGTTTTGGTCATACACAGAAATTGACAGTTCATGTGTTATCTCTGAAATCTAAGCGATCATATTTTATATTTATTGATATTTCGCATTTTCCAGTATCCACAATCATTTGTATAAATTAAGGCACCAGTCCTGAACCTGTATCAATGTGAGTGAGTCCTCCAGCAGATACAATTAGATGTCTGGATGAATCAGTAAGATCAAGGTCAAAACAAAAAAAGCCAAAAGCTCTACAAATGCAAATCAAACTCATTTGAGCTACGAGTGAACTACAAATAGTCCTCATCTACAAGGCTTGAGGAAAAAAAAGCCTTGGAATACTGTCTGTTAGAAGATTTCTGGGGTATTTAATTTCTGGCAAGGATTTACAAGACTGTAATTTGTAGTTTATCATTTAGACAGAAGGGTGTTTGAACACTAAAATAAATTATTACACTTTCACTTACATGTTTGCATTTTAGTTTTTTTCCATTTAGTAACAAAAACTTCACATATTTTTTTTTCCCCTGCAAAACCATAATTTCATGCCTACCAGAAAATATGAACTATTCCCAGGCCTTTTTATCAAGAGATTCACTAATTAACAAGGTACTTATTCTATAGATACCTAATAAATAAGAAATGCTCCTGCTACTGAGGAGCCAGCTCTTTGGCATAAGCCCCAGCTCTGTACCTCTCACCAGCAAGCCATTTTTAATCATGCACGTAATTGCGCTGAAATCCATGCAACTGCGTAAAGAATTCCCTGTCCCAGCAAAGATTGCAAAACGGGGCCTTTGTGTGCTTCTCTGTAAATCGATGACTTTTAGAAAAGCATTTTTATGTGTATCAACCAATATTACAAAGCCTGTCTGATCCTCCCCGTCGCTCATTCAGGCATTATACACCGTGGAGACACGGAGTTTCGTCAGCCCTTCACTCCACCCATATTTCAGTTAATTACTCAACACTCCCTTTTCTTACAGAGGTCTTATCCAGCCACTCTAAGAAAAAAACCTCCATGGCTCCACTCCCCATCACTCATGATGGATGGGCAACTCAACTGAAAAAACCTCCAACATCTCCAGCTCCTCATTACCCTTAACACCAATTTTTAGGAAGCACGGAGGCTGCAGCTTCACAGCGGCCTACGATGACCTACCTAACTCCTACCTGCTACAGTCTTGTTATCCTGCTGGCTCAAGAGCTCTTTAGCCTCTGCACTGTTCTGTTTCAGCTCCTAATCTAGCAGAAAACTAACCCTGATCGTTTTCCCCAGTGAACAGATTACTGCTGGTTCAGCCAGCAGAAAGAACTGGTAAATCAGCCTGAAGAATGGTGGAGGCCACAACGTGCAGAGGATCCTCAGCTTAGGCTGCCACGGAGTTGTGACTTGAAAGATCTCTGAATTAAGTGTTATACAACAACTTTAAGTCATCTTCCATTTTTTTTTCCTCCTAAGATTAGAGAAGTGGTAAGCAGATAACAGGTAAAGTGGCATTTTGCACCTCTGAAAGAATACACCATGAAAACAAACTGGGCATGGTTATGGCATATTGACCAACCCACTGAGCTCCCACTACTAGAGTATCTAACCACATTAGATTTTTTTTTTTTAATTTAGCCTTAAAAGATTCTTATAAGATAATATCCCATGTTACAATTAAGGATCTGAGAATTAAAAATTGCATTTCCAGGAAGCCTGTGAAAATTTGACTTTGAACGATGTGTCAAGAGACCAGAAAACAGTCCAGGTTTTCCTGAATCTCCAGACAGATTTCTGTCTTACTAGACCATTCCTCCTCACAACAAGATGCTTGTCATGGATACAAATGTATACGACTGGTCATTGTACCTGCTTGAATCTGCATCAATTTTCGCATGGTCTTGAGCTCTTGAAGAATAGCCTGTAGGGTTGACTGGCAATTACATGTACAGCAATTTGGTCCAACTGATGAATTCACCATTGGGATTTCTCCTGAAAGAGAGAGGAATGAAATGGGGGCGAGATGATGTAACCCACACAAAAACACCCAAACAACAATTACCAGCAGGCGTTTGACACTGTTATCAATAGTCCTGATCATGAAATTAGATCCAAAGAAAGAAAGCAAATAATTTTCAACATGGTCTTTTAAGAGAAGAACACTAGATTTTATCCAATTACTAGTCTGTGCAATTATATACAGTAGGGGATGCAATGTTACATGGGCTGGAGAAGACTGCTCAGAGCGTGAATACAATGCACTCTTCACAGCAGGGCTCTCTATTGTCAGCCTAGTTCATCTTGAATAACAATAGCACCAAACCTCATTATAAACATACTCACTTTATCACACACACGAAAAAAGCCCATCTCCCGGAACAGTCTTACAAAGAATGAAGACAGTCTATGTAATAAACGTTTCTACTGCACATTAAATGAGGGCCCAAGAATATTTAAACTGCTTGAATGTTACATGTGATTCTTTACCATGTGAAGAATTGAGGATGAAAATTAAATACCCTGTCTGGAGAATGAAAAAAACCAAACTAGGATAGAAAAGAACGACCAGCAAGGAAAGGTTTCAAATCAGCTCTTCCGTTTGCTAGGGTGGGATTGTTTTCTATGGCATGTTTTCCAGCACTGTGACCTGCAAGATGGGCTTTCCATAGTTTCCCTCTGAAAATTAATAGAGTAGTTCAACAGTTTATTTTTTCCTAGTAATTTTTACTAGTGTTTAACTGAATTTACATACTTCTAGTTCTAGCTCTTAGCAATGCTCGTATTACTGCCTTGCTTTCCAGAAGTTTTTCATCATAGGTCCTGAATTAGGACACGCTGTAATGACCAAGAGATTTCAAGCTTTACCTGAATAGTTGTATCCTGCACTGTAGTTTGAAACAGCTGTATCCCTAGCATTAACGCTGCAAATAAAAATTTCAAAATTCAACAAAACACCTAGCAATACCTGCTTGAAATTGAGGCCAGATGCGATGCACCCTCCTTCATTACAAAATGTGCTTACAGTCATTTAAATTGATGGCTATTTTACTGCTCATCAAAGCACACAAGAGAAGGGATGATGATCTTCATTTTATGAAGATAGGTACAAATGGATCTAACAAAAATCATCTTGCTTGGTGTCACATGTGGTGGACTTCAGAGAGTGTATTTCTATTTTTCTTCCACAGCCTGGCAGTTATCGGCTGCCCTTTAATCATTACCTAGCTAAAGTGAACATAAGCAACTCATTTAATCTTTGCTTATAAATCCTCCCATTTTTCGTTATTACTTTTGCCTTCCTCTGAAGCCAAACCAGTTTATTAATATGGTTTTAGGTTTAGTTTGTGTTCTTTCATCAGAGCTCCCTGATGCCAGACCCACACAGATATCTGACTTCAATCCTCATTTGAAATAGCTGAAAATCTGGCCACCGCTAAATTGCTCCCACCCTTTCCTAGTTCTTCCAATGTGTTCATCCTCAAATCTCCCTTCCCAGGCACTTGTTCTCTACCTCTTTCCATTCAGTCCTTCAGCTCTGAAGCCACATCTATCAGACTTGAGCAAACTGGTGGACATTCCCCCAAAAGTGAGCTACTTGTGAAGCTAAACTGATGCATCACTTAAAGATTGTTGACAGCTTCTGGGTGTCACTCTCCTCTTTTCCTGAGATATTTATATTGTCCACAGTACTGCAATTACAAATTTTGGTGTTTGAAAATATAATCCATGGACAAAAACTGTTAATACTACACTAAGATAAATAGTTTAATAGTCTCTGCAAATCTAGCAAATACAAACGCAATAGTTCTACCAGCTTCTTCTCTCCAGGGTTTCAGCTGTCAATAAAACAACTTTTTAAAAGTAAAAATCTGGAAACCAGGCTGAGAGTCTCAAATTAAAACAAAAAGAGGTTACTGACTCAGCAGGACTCTGCCCAGTTTGATCTCACCCTTCTTCTGTATGGTGTCTATTCACTGGAATTTCCTTGGGGCATGGATGGCATTTTATCTTTTCAAAGTGTTCAGCCCATTGTTACAGGTACAGAGGGGAAAAAAATAATATTATCTTTAGCTTTGCAGGTGATGACTCAGAATCTCTCAACTTGGCTCCACCAATACCATTTCTCTATCTGTTAAAGGCAGACTTTTAAGTAGATGAGGTTGAAGACTACTTATCATTTAATAGCATCAGCATAACTCCATACCTTTCAGAAAGACAAGCAGGTACCCCAGAAATGGAGTCCCAAGAAATTAGGAGTTTTATTAACAGAAGACAAATGCATAGTAAGAACATCCTTCCTCCAGTGCTTTCTCAGTTGTTTTAGACTAACAAGCTCCTCGGGATAAAGCCTGTCCTCTCTCTTGATCAGAATTCAATATTCTAGCAGGCTTCTGGAAATAATATCTGACAGACTACAGCGGGAGACAGGGCTGGTGCCTTTTGTTTCCTTAACAAAGACTCTACATCATGGTGAACTGCATGTGAGAACTTAGACAAATTGTATCAGTAAACACCTGTACATCTTTCCTGTTGCAATATAACATGTTCCTAATGAAAGCACGCAGGCTCCTGATGGAAAACCAAAGGGTCTATTTTCCCATTGAGGCATGGGGGATTTACATTATAATCCCCATTAGCATTGATAGAAATTACCCATGTAAATCTACCGTAGGTACTGGAAATGGGAAAAGAGACCACCAATATTTCAAATCAAAGCAGGATTCTACTGACTTTATACATATTCATGAGGGTTTTTTATTTTCTTTCTATCCTCCCTCTTCTGATCAGTTACTGTGTTGTAAGAAACATCTTGTAGAGTGTTCTCAGTCATTGTTCCAAGCACTATCTTTATCATTTTTAGAGGACAAAAGCAACCCTTTTCAACTTGTTATAAATCAATTTTTAATTTTAAAAGGAGAATAGACTTTTTATTTTTATGAAGGAGTCTTTAAAGAGCCATCTCCCTCTCTTTTGGAAGCTAGCCAGCAGGCAAATTTGATACCAGCCTGTATGATTGAGAGGAGATGACAGAAATGAATTAGTCGCTTTCCCTGTGTGAGCAGCAAGTAGCCCAGGACAGTGGTTCTTGCAGCTGGATCTGCTGAGAGTGAATTCACCTGCTGTAACATTGCTACCACAAGTTTACATCTGAAAAGCATGAGAGTGCAATCCATTGAAAACAATCTTGACATAACCAAAAAGCAATTCAGCTGCCACAGCACTGACGGATTTCCCTTTTCTTTTCTCTCTCCATCTGTTTTTGACAAAACTTTTTCCCCCGACTGCTTTCTACACCACCACCTATTAAACAGACATTCCAGCCCCCCCATAACCACCTTTACCATGCGAGTAGGTAACTATGCTAGTTAGATGGACTTAGATGCCTACTACATTCTAACTTGAGTAATTCAGACAGCCTACAACATGTATCTTGGCTTCCTATATGGTATCTATCCACAATGGACAGAAACACTTTCTGGACTCGGACCACCTGCTATAGATGCTTGGACCAGTCCCCAGTGACGACCCAGGCAATAACCTTTTGTCCTGCCTGAACAGTTTTGCTCTGATGAGTTTAAACACCATGGTAAGTATGAAGGAGTAGTATCTCCCTTCATGTATCGTTCAGCATTTCTACACCCAGCTTTTAAGGACTCTGTCCATCCTTTAAATAATATCTAAAGCACTCAGTTAGATGCTCAGGCTCCCAGTGCAAGGGATGGAGGGAATCAGGCACATTACAATGACCTCCCAAAAGAGCTGTGTGCTGGGTGAGGAGCAGTTCCAGCGCTTGCTCGCAGCCCAGAAATGTTTTCCTTTCCTAGATACTGGGCTTTGGAGGCAAAGCAGCAAAACTGCCTGGCAGGATTGCAACACCCCACGGGACGTAGATGTCTCTAACTAAAGAGCTACGCAGATCGGCTTTGCCAAGATGGCCAGCAGAGAGGGCTCACACCCATCTTTATGTAATAACCTAAAAGACTGCATTCCATTCTGCTGCAGGACAGCTGCAGAAGGAGGAGTGGAAGGTGCCTCCTGGTGCACTTCCCCAAGAGCTGGGAGCTCGGACATTCCTCCTGACCACCCCAGAGGTCACTCAACCCAACCCTTCGCTGTCTCACAGACTGTTCTAACCTGTAGAAGATCAAAAATCAGCCGAACCCTTCCTCCTTGTATGAAAAATGAAAACATTGACATTTTCTTGCATATGGGGCCAAATCCTGTCAACACATTTTAGCTCACATGCTGAATCAGGCCCCTGAGGGGATAGAGGTGCTGCTCCACCTACTTTATGGATCCAGAACTAGGCACCTAATCTGTGCAGGCTTGGGCACTTCTGTGCATGCAGAGAACTGTCCCTGCTGGTGCCCAGTGACTCCCAGGGCAAAGAGGGAAATGCATGATGAATTTTGGGTCCTTCCACATTTAGAAGGTTTTTATGGTGGGATTTTGAGAGCATAGTTTTAGACTTGGATGCTAATTTCCATCAAGTGTTTTTCCCTTTTCCCTGGATCTGCACCTTTTAAAAAAACCTTTCCTTTTTGTGTGTGTTATAAAATAAATAAAACTAGCCTGACTTACTGCAACATCTTTCTCCAGGTCAACTGGTACCTCTGTGTGAATCACTGTCTCTCCAGAGAAACAGTCAGTTTGGTGAAACCTAGGGCTGCATGTTTTTTAGTGCAGTGACAGTACTTCCTAAAGGACAGTCCTGAGAATAATAATAGTATTTTTCTTTTTAACTGTTGCAAGCAATGACAACTTGTATGCTGTTAGAGAAGGATACACAGCAAACACTCCTACTGGGAAGTACGGATACCTTCAGAATCAACTGGAAATTAACAATGTTTTCAGATGCAATCTCACAATTTTTTATTTTCCAGAATTTAGAACTGAGGTATCCCTTTAATATAATTCCCCCCTCTAAATTTAGTGTTCAGGAAAACTGAATCTAGATCATTAAAGAAGACCTTCAGAAATCTGGCAGTAAAACCTCCATGTTCTGGGACTTAAAAAGAGAAAAGCATTTTAAGGGCACACTGTCATCTACTTTAGGGCAGAATTCTCTGCCAGCACACGAAGGACCATGCTCTAGTATGTGCTGTTGACAGGTAGACTGCATCATCTCTTTTCTCCAGTGGTCCCACCAGAACAAAAGCCCAAGGCTGTGATGGGATTTTGTACCTTAACTTCAGTGGCCAGTTGTAAGGCTGATGCCACCCCCTTATGAAAGTCAGTAGAATCCTGCTCCGCAAGTGGTGTCACAACAGTGCTACATTACTCAGTGCAAAGAGGAGTGGTAGAGGTTGACATTTAATTAGCTACGAATTTAATAACAATGGCAAAAGCTGTTTTAATAACTACAGGATAGAAATTAAGCCTGTAACAGCACTGAGCAATTCTGTCCTATCACCAGGAATCCAATTGAAAAGCTAAGACAGATGGTAGCAGAATGCACTGTGCCCACTTTCGCACCTTTTCAAAGTGATAACTATGTGCTCATTTTGTAGACTCTGAACTGTAACTGATTTCAGTGCAGCAGTACAATAAATCATCACAACAAAGGCAGAAATTTAGTACAGTACAAGGAGAGGAAAAAAAAGTACTACTCTCAGTATCTAATGCAGATCATACCATTGGATGCCACGGTTCGTGTCTGATTTTGGAACGTTTTGGATCGAGTTCCGTATTGCCCTGAAAAATGGCTAGCTTGGGGTGACAATTCATTCCATGCACTGCTCTGTGAAGGATGAAGGCTCGCCTGGGACTCTGCAGGGGAATTCAGGCGCTGGGCCCAGTCTAAGTCTAAATCTTGGGGCTCCTCCTTCAGTTTTTCTCCTTCTTTGCCAACTCGTTGATAGATTCTTCCAGTGCTGTCATTCAGTAATCTTCTCATCCCTGTAATTTGTTTTTTAATTTCCCGGCTTTCATCTCCTAATGAAAACAGAGCCACAGTTATCACTGTAAATTAGGGAAAACAGTAATGGGTAGAGATTAGTGATTTTAGATGCCAGTAAGAGTTGGCGTACAAAAATCAATAAATAAAGATAAGAAAGAAAAGGGATGGTTGAGCGGTCATTGGTATGTACCAGGCTACGCTTTAGCACAGCGATGGCTGACATGTTTTTTCTGCTGAACTTGGCTTTCTTGATGCCATTTCTAAAGCTTTGATGAGTAAGATTATTTTTCTCCAGAAGGAAATAATGATAGCTAGAGCAGTTTCAAATAAATTGTCCTTTTAAGGGACTGATCCTATTCAGGCATTGACATCAGTGGATATTTTCCCAAGTAAAGCCTGAAGAATTAGACCCTTTTTATATCAGTTTGCTATATGCTGAAGGATAGATTCTACAAAGAAAAAACACAAAAAGCACCACACCACATACACAGAGCAACTCTGCATCTATTGATTTTAATGAACAGGATCAGTTCCCTAGTCCACAGAATTTAATAATACTGGGTTATACAAGAATAAATTAAAAAGCAGCTAATACGTGTAGAACTGTATACAGCCTAACTGCTGGGTGTCTTAAAAAGGCAGATTATGAAAACAAAATGAAAATATATACAAGAAAAATGTGACTGTTCCAAATAAATTCAGGGCATTTAAATAATAACAATTACATACTTTAATACTCCTGGCACCATTTAAGTATTAATTTTACATATGAAACTGCTGATTGCACAATGAATATACCTGTTTGGGGCAGATAGTAGCTATTTTGCTCGTTAAAGCACACATTACAATTCACTCGTAATAAGGAAGTATTCATAACTGCTTCTGAAATAAGAAGCTTCTATTTTTTATACTGGTAATAGAAAAATCAAACATCCTAAGCAAATGGCATAATGAAGATCAAGAAACTGATGAATCAACTTTCCTTTATAATACTTGGTATCCTCTATTCAATTCACATTCGCACTTCCCAAAATAAACTTATTTTTGGAAAAGCCAGAGTGCAAAGGAAACTTCAGAAGAGAAACAACCCTCCCAAAAACCAAGGTGCAACGTGCATTGTCTCTGGTTCAAGGAGGTATTTGAAAGCATGCTGATACCAGGCATGCAAACAATTTTATCATCTCAACAGCACCATTCCATTGCCTAAGCTCAGGCTCACGCCTAGGTAGCTGGCTAAACCAGACAGATAAAGAGCAGCAACCCCCTTCCCAACATGGACCAAGCTCAATGTGGCTGGGACATGCTGCAAGCCCAGCATACCCAGGGATGTGCAGTTCCCGAAAGAGGGAGTTTTTGCTCCAGGAAGCGAATAGTCAGCAGGGGAGAGGAGCTGTACAATCCGCTCCAGCCTCTGCTGAATCAGAGCATCTCCCGCTTGACCTGGCACACCGGTTCCCTGGGCCAGTGCCAGCTGGCTCCAGCCCACCCCGAGCCAACAAGGAGAGTGGGCGGTTTGCAAGAAAGCTCCTAGTCCAAACTTAGAAAAATATTTGTCAACCCCGTACAGTGATACTCTAGCACCATTTCCACTCCAGCTAAAGCGGTGAGAAAAACCCTTTGCAAGGAAGTTCTGCGTTGTGTTTGATTTGTTGGTTTGCTTCCAGATCTACACGTGTAGGTGTGATTTAATTAACAAATCAAAGCACTGATTCCTTTAAAATAACACTTTCTGGCCCCAACCCAACCAGGGGCTGACTGTTTGCAGTTCCCAACCTCGAGAGGCCGCAGAGTACCACTGGACTCCAATTATTGAGATACTCAGACCCGTACGCTGAAGATTGCCTTTATCCTGTACATGGCTGTACCTGCCCACATCCAAGCTCCAAATGCCCCAATCACACCGGAGCATAAAGCCGTCCCTTACCATCAGTACCCGAGGCTCTCAGAGATTTAGGTTGGCAATTTGTATTTGTATTCAATAGCAAAACATATCTGAATATAAAAAGAAAGCTTCCCACCCACCTGCTCCTGTTGGGTGTAGTGACTGCATGCTTGTCGGGTGACACATTGTTGGAAAGATTAAATTTCCCTTATCCAATTACATAAAATATTAATGCTAATTGAGCTAATTCAGCCTTGATTCTGGTCCCTTGTTCCTTCATATTGAGGTTTTCCTATACAGTGACATGAGCATGTTTACTTCCAAATACAAACCCCCCCCCCTATATTTATGTTACAGCAAACCCTGAACTTGCATCCCACATAAGCATGTCATTGCTTTTAGGTAGCTCCCTGGAAGATTTCCCCTATTGTGAACTTGGTTTTGGGGTTTTTGTTGTTGCTGTTGTTGTTTTTAAGGATTTTTCTGTTTGGGTTTTTGTTTTTGGTTTGTTTGGGGTTTTTTTTGGTTTTTTGTTTTTTTTTTTTTGTTTTGTTTTGTTTTTTTTAATTTGGGTTTTTAGTTTTGTTTTAGGTTTCTTTTTAATGTCTTCTTTTTTGTAAGGAAGGGCATTAAAACATACAGGCTATACGCTTTATTTAATCTTCAGTGCAAGTTTACCTCCCCCCCTCTCCCAATTATGACTTTTTACATCTCTTAATTTGTAACTGGCCAGCGACAGCAGCATCCTTCCCGACACGAGCAGAGAGCAGCTGATGTTACACCAGCTGAATCTACAGGTAGGTGCAAGACCAGTAACAGATTTAACTTTTTGCTCCCTGGTTATCTCATTTGGCTATTAGCTCTAGAGCTTAATGACAGCATTTTGTTACCAGCTATTCCACTGCTGATGATTTTAACAGATAATAACCATGTAATTTAAAAATAATAATAATAAAAAAAAGGAAGATGGAACACAGAGAAAACGAAACAGTTCAAGCTACTACATCCCACGGAAGAGCCAGCCTTTCTTTTTAAAAGCTGAATGGGATAATCAAGCATGGAAAAAAAAATAGTTTATTACATAAATCTCTATCCTGAGACAGATGTTGAGGCCTGAGAGGAGCGGTGCATCTTTCAGCCTTTCCCTGTACACGTACCAGGAGACCCCAGCTCTCCCAAGGAGATGGGGATGCCCCCAGGCTGCGTGCTACAGGTTTTGCCATTTGGATTCCCCTTGTAATCCCTTTGGTTTTATCTGAAACCAATTAATTTACTTTCAAAACACTAAAATACTTACAACAACACTACTCAAAAGAGATAAACATGGTAAATTACAGCCCTCTTTAGGAACTTATATGTAAAGATAATAATAGTAATAACAAAAACTTATTAACAATTTTTTAAAATAACTATTATAGTTGTTCCTATTATGGCCCCTTATATAAAACCACATGGCCTGATTGTAATCTTATAAAACAAAGGCAAACCAAAGCCCTTTCATAAATAATACATCAAATATTCATAAAGTAATTTCCCTAAAATTAATTTCAATCTCTTTCTTTACTGAAAGTGTGCACAGGATAAAAACCTTCCTGCTTTGGTAGCTGTAAAAATATTCAAGATTACAAACGCACAAATGTAAACTAGACCTGCCCTAGGATGAAGCAGAATCCACATGCTGAGTGTGCACCTGCCTGAAGCAACAGGCCTGGAAACAACTCAGGTTAACAAAATATTATCAATAATTCATTAATTCCATTCTTTGCCCCTATATGCTGACCATCTTCTCACTATTAGGCTTATTAAACCTAATATACAGCACACTGCCTACAAACAAGTTATTATACTTTTCTGAATAGTTTGTCAAATATTATCACAGTGCTACAAAAAAATTATAAAATGATATGCACCCATACCCATATATTAAAACATTAATTTTATTCCAGTATTAGAGAAGTGGTAACAACACCTGTAATTAATGTATGTATTTTAAAGTGTATAAATGAGTGAATAAAGGTTGGACAGTCACCTGTTTTTGATTTTTTTTTCTTTTGACTTATATAAATAAATAACCATAATGTTCTCTTAGCCAATATTTTGCAATTAATTATTTTATTTTTAACATTTATGCTTCTCATGGGTTTTGGGAATTATGAATGAGTAGTTGACTTTTTAAATACAGTTTGATTTTCTGTGAATTAGTATCTAATTTGATGTTGTTGTGTTTTGGCAGATGAAACTCCTACAGAAACCTTTCCTTTCTTGGCTATACAAGGAGGGCATTTTCCTCCATCGGGCTGCTTGCTGAAGGTACTTTGTCTCTCACAGATTTCCACCTTTGTGTCAAACTAGGCTGAAGTTGGTGGATGAGTTCAGAAGCTATTGGGAGGGTAGGAACGGCAGCGATAGACAGCTAGACAAGCACATGTGAGCTGACAACATTAGCCTGGTTTGTAAGGAAACAAGTCTTCAGAGGTGAGAAAAAGTGGAAGCTGATGCATACAGCTTGAAAGCTCAATAAAAAATAATAAATAATTGCAAAGGGTTATATAATCAAACATATTAAATGGCAGTTTATCAGACACCACTTGAAGGCTGCCCTTCCTGGAAGAGGGCCAACAAAACTCAGCTGCTGTGCTGGAAGATTTTGTAAGGGCGAATTCAGAGCAGCTCCAGGAATCGGGATGCATGTGCATGCACGGTACAGGTCTCCAGGGCACAGCCAGGCTGAACGCACCAAAACACCTTTTTGAACGTTACATGGTATTCATCTATTTCCTTAAAGGTCAGTTATCCTACAAGGGAGTTAAGCATCCCTTCTCAGCAAAAACTGTACCCACATCAAACTGTAACTTTCAAAACTCAAGATATTTTTGCCGCTGTACAGCAAGTGGTCCTGAAGCAGAAAATTGTGGGTCAGCATTGGGAAAACAGAGGAGCCATGTGCATGATTCCTTATCGGATAAAAGGTTTCCTAAATCACACGGAAAGCTGTTGTGACTGCTCTGTGGATAATTTGAATCTGGCATGTGTGTAGCTGAATTGATGGGGTAAGCATGTATTTCTCAAATAAGCGATCCCCAGTCTTTGCTGGCATATAAGAACCTATACTGAACAAGTAACACAGGCAACAACACGCTTTGCAAATTAAAAACCTAAACCCCAAGTCAGCAGGGAGAGCAGTGGTCACGAACAACGTCAGAGGGTCACACAGGCAACATGAGTTATGAGCTGGGTACTCTGACTACCCTGAGCTAACATAGAGGGACATTTAAGCTGTCTTAGTTGAGGCATCTTAGCAGTGCTCTAAAATGTCATTTAAAAGCACTTACTTATCTTCATGTCACCACACAGAGCACTAAGATTATACCTGCAGGAAAACTGGAACGCCCTCAAACTAGACCCTCTACTCCCAAACCAAGCATGGATCTATGCAGGGTGACTGATAGCCCTGCCTATGACGAGACACACAAAACTAATAAGTGTCACGAACACAAATACAAGCAAAGCAATTTGCCGAATCAAAACCAGGATCAGACCCCGGGACCATTCAGGATTTGGGGGTTATTTCTCTGGAAGCTAGACCAGCCTCGATGGCCGGGCCACCAGCACCACGAAGTAACTCTGTTGAAGAACTCGGGGTAACAGTTTCAAAACACCCAGCAGGAGCAGATGCAGAAGCTTATGTTACACACTTTCATGCCATGCTGTAACATCTAAATAGCTCAGGAAAGGACCAGTGAGCAACTCCTCAATGAATGTATATACTAATGGGGTCATATAATTAAAAAAATAATAATAGATGTGCAACAACTTTCCCCAGCTCTTGGAAATATCCCAGGTCATGATCATGCTTCAGCCCCAAAGGAAGTTAGATCATTGGAGAACACAGATACATAAAATAAATTTTTATGCAGTCTTAATTACAGAAGCTACTATTGCAACAATCAGACAGGGGATGTAATTCTATTAAAAGTAACAACTTCACAGACTTGTGTTAAGTCAACTTTTTCTCTGTGAATAAATTGCAGAGGATATTATTTCTGGGACAGAATAAATTCTTGAAATTAGTGAGTAACTTATGCATCGCTCCTCTGCTCCAAGAACACATTATTTATTTTTACCATGACATAGTGAAGTTATTAATCTGCTGCCTTCCATTTCTACAATGCGAAATGTTGTAAAATGCACAGCCACCTGCATTACAGTACATTTCAGCTCCACTTTATATCAGTCATAAACATCTCTGTTTTGGACATCTCTTCAAAACAAATGCTCCAAGCACACTGTGCGTAGCATTCAATTTTATGAAACTATAAAAGTTCTTCACTGTTAATTACACAGACAAATGTCTCATCACACATTTGGTTACCAGGATAATATAATTAGTTTTCTACATTAACCTTTCAAACACAGCGCCTGAATTTCAAGTTGAAAGCATTGTAAAAACACTCAGTCTGGAGGTATATTACATTTCCGCTTTTTTGGTGATGATAATAAAATATTAAGACTGAAAAAAACCCAATGTGGTGTATGCAAAAGATTTTTTTATAGACAAGCTAGGTTTAACCAGCGTTGTCCACAAGATACGGTTGTACAGTCCCCTCATGGGCTTGTCCAAGCCTGGCCTAGAAGCCCTCTGACAGAAGGTTTATGCTGATAACTAGTGAAAGCTGAAGTCACGTCTGTCTTAAATCTTGTCCATTTCAAGGTTTAAGCACTTCACTTAGGGCTGCCTCCCCCTTTTCACATGGAGCAGACTCTCCTGGTATCAGATAACTAAGCCCTTTCCTTCAAAACAAAAGAGATGCCAGCCCTCACCTGCACAATTCAGTAGTGATGTTTCCCTCCCGAATTTTGCAAACTCCTCCACTGCATCACATAAGCAACCTTCCTAAGCTTACCAAGCTCCATTCAAAAAGCAGCTGAACTTTACAGCATTGCAATCGTCAGAGGTCACGTCCAGTACCGTGTTCCTCTAATTGCGCTGAAGCTTCCTCCAATTTGCAGCCTACGTTTCCACAAAGCCACGTTTTGCCCATCTGTGCTGCTGCAAAAAAGACCATCTAGGTTCAACAGGTCTTTCCAGACATTTGATCCTTAATTCATCTGCTTGTTAAACAAGCTGGATTCTTCTGATTTACTCATTTACCCTAGAAGCTCCCCTCTTCTCAACAGTGCATCTCTTCAGTTTGAGTTCATTGTTCTCAACTGTGCAACCAAAACAAACGCGCATCCTGTTCCAGATAAAGCTTCACTCGATCATAAAATGGCATTAACATTTCGCCTTTTCTAAGGGTAACAGTTTCAATGATGTATCTTGGCATCCACTCACATACTAAAGGCTGCATAACATGGAGGTTTCAGCAGCTGATCACACGGATCAGTTAAAACAGCTAAACTGTAGAACAAACTCGACTCTAAACCAGCAAGTTGGAGTGAACAACCTTCTGCAATTAATTTTTGGCATAAACCAGGGAAATCAAGTGAAGCAGCAATTATACCCTGAGACTCTTTATCAGTGGACAAGACACCAAGCTAGGAAAAAGTGTTGTGATCCCACCATTCCTGAAGCACAATGAAAAGTTACACCATGCAATGTGAAATCTTTTAAAGGAAAGCTGGGATGCCATATGCCACTCATCCCAGATCCCTGCTGAAAGGTGGGAGCTCAGACTTCAACTGCTTTCAGTTGAGTTCAGTCCCTGACA